TAATACCCTAGGAGAATTTTATAAATTCTTAGTAATATTATAAGGATTAATAAACGCACCTGTATTTTTCTAGAAAAGGATTAATTATATCCTTTAGAAATATTAAAATAAATTTACTATTATTTACTTAAATAATATTTTAATATATTTTAAAAGTAAAGAGGAATATAAGGAATATATATAACTAGTGCTTTAAGCCCTATAGGATAATTACCTCCTTATAAATCCTAAGAAATGTTAATTTTATACCTAAGAAGTGGAATTTTTAAAATATATTATTACTCCTAGAACTATATAAATAAATCTAAAGAAAGTTGCCGCTGTTAATAAATAGCCTACTTTAATATTAATTAAGGAAGTATAAAGTTTTTATAAATTAGTTAATTATTATTAACGGTTTATTTAAAACTTCTTAGTCCTTGCTTAACCTCTGACTAATATAATAAAGAAAGATTAGAAATTTAAGTAAATAGAAGAAGCTAAATAAGTATTTTAAATAATTAAATAAGCTATAACTTTAAAACCTATTTTAGCTATATATAACTTTAAAAAACTAGTGGAAATTAAAACTAATATATTTAAATATATAATTAAAGGAGTACTAAATTAATAAAATAATAAAGGGAAACCTTACCCTATTATATTCTACTTATAAAAACTTAATAAAGCTAAACTTAATTATATAGTCTATAATAAAGAATTCTTAGGAATTAAAAGCTATTTAAAGTAATAAAGTTAATATTATAAAGGAAGTAAATTCTAAATTAAGATCTTTACTAATTATTAGAATATTACTTACTTTATATTTACTTAAAAACTATTTAGATAATAGCTAGGATACTTTAAATTCCTAAGTAAATTTAATTATAAACTTATATACTATAAGGGATTAGAAAATAAAAAAGTTAATATACTTAGTAAAAGAATAGATTATTTCTAAGAAATCCCTGATTACTAAGGTATTATATTATATTAGAATACATAAGGTAATTATAAATAAAAATCTTTTAATCTAACCTTTAAAGTAGAAGAATATAATAAACTCTTTAAAGAAATTAAGGAATATATAAGAAACTAGGAACTATATTAGTTTTTATCTTAGATTATAATATAAGAGGGATACTTTATAAATAAAAATAAATATTAGGTACCTCCTAATTTACAAAAGAAAATTATAAAATATATTTATAAATACCCTTTATTTAAATATTAAGGAATTATAACTATATATTAATAAGTATTTATAATATATTAATTTAAAAAAATAAAGAAAATTACTACTAATATTATATTAGCCTATAATAAATATTAATGCGCTAAATATAAATAATATAAACCTTATAGGAAACTATAACCCCTGCTAATACTAGAATTACTATAGGAAATAGTTACCTTTAATTATATTATAAACTTACTACTCTCTAAGGAATTTTTTACTAAAATAATTTATAATAATATTTTAGTAGTAGTAGATAAGTTTATAAAGTAAGCTTATTTTTTACTATATTATAAATTATACTTAGTAGAAAATCTTATATATATATATATAAGAATAATAATAGCTAATTATAGCTTACCTTAAGAAATTATCTTAAATAGAGGATAAACTTTTACTTTTAAGTTTTAGTAAAAACTTATAGTAAGACTTAGAGTAAATTATAAACTTAGTAGTATATACTATCCTAAAATAAATAAATAAATAAAATAAATAAATTAGATTATAAAGTAATACCTTAGATATTTTATTAACCTATAATAAAATAACTAAGTTAATAAATTACCTTTTACTTAGTTATACTATAATAATATAAAATCTAAATCTATTAAGTTAATACTATTTTATACTTTATATAAATATACTCCTTTAGTATATAGGCTACTTTAAAAAAAACCTAATACTAATAAAGTATAATTTTAAGCAGAATTAATAATTAACTTATATAAAGAAATAAAAGTATAGCTAGAATTTATCTAAAAATACATAAAACACTATATAAATAAGAATAAGATTAAGGGACTAAACCTTTAGGAAGAGGATATAATTTACTTACTTTAATATATATAAGGCTATAAAATACTAAATATTAAGATAAACTAACTAAATAATAAGCTTAATTTTAGAAAAATTAGTTTATTTAAAATTCTAAAGAAAATTAGTAATATTAATTATAAATTAGAAATGCCAGAAAGTATATAACTAAAATATCTTATATTTTATATATTACTCTTAGAAAAAGTATAAATTAATAAAATAATAGGAAGACTAATTTTAGATAAGATTATTATTATTAAAGATAAAGAAAAATAGGAAGTTAAAGAAGTCTTAGTAATATAAAAGAATCCAGAAGAAAATAATAAAATTAAATACTAAGTTAGGTAAAAAGGGTATAATTTAATCTATAATACTTAGGAACCTGTTAAAAGCTTTAATATAATAAACCTAATTTAGGACTTTTAAGAAAAATTAGGATTATACTTAAAACTCCTAACACTGGCTACTTAATAAACAAAAATATAGTTTAAGAAGAAAAAGAAGGTATATAAGTTTCCTTTAATAGTATAAAAGGACTTAGATTTTTATACTTTAAACTAACGCCTAAGGAAAATTAATTTACGTTATTAAAAACACCTAATAACTATAGATTTTATACTACTGCCTACTCTATAACTACCTTAGTATTAGCCTTTTTTATATTATAATAAAATAACTCCTTACCCTACTCTTTAGCTTTCTTATGCGTTTTTTAAATATATAATAAATAACCAGCTACCTTAGCTAGCTTAGACTATAATTTAACTATTTAAATATTTAAGGAATTAAAATACTCCTTAGCCTTTTTTTTTTTATATTCTAAGGAATATTTTTAAGCTATTACTCTTTTAATTAAGGAAAATTAATTATTACTATATTAAAGAAAATTAAAATTACTTATAAGTATTTATAATAAAAATACTATTATAAGATTTCTTTGCCTTTATATAATTTCTATAATAAGATAAAGTTTTAGAAATAACATAAGCTAGCTTAAGATAATAATAATAAGTATATAGTATATCTATAATTACTTTAGAAGTTAATATATATTTTACTAAGGAAAAATTCTTATGCCTTTTATAAACCCTTATAAATAAATTAAATATAGTAAGAATATAAAGAAAGAAGGAAATATACTTTATAAAAATTAAGCACTACGGTTAAATTAAGTACAGGGCCCTATTAGGTCTTAAAAATAAAACTAATAAAGGAGGGGGTATTATATTATAACCTAATTTAATAAAGGTATAAAAGAAAAGTATTTAGAATAACTATTACCTAATTAACTAATTATAAAAAGGAGTAATAAGTATTAGCGCTTTTATAATTAAAGTAACTTATATAAGCGCTTTAGATATTCTAAGGAGTAATAAAATATAACGCTCCTTATAAAATAATTAAATATATAAGATTTAATTCTTTATACTCTTTAGATAACTTAAATAAATAGTTATTAATAAAGTATTAAAATTAAATATAAATTAAATCTTTATTATATTTTACTTACTTTATAATTATATTTACTTAAAGCTACTTCTTATCCTTTTTACTAATATAAACTAATTAACCTTAGCTTATTACCTTAGGAACTTACCCTATACTATTTAATATTGGGTTAGGATGTTACAGGCCCCTAGCTTAACTAGGCTAGCTTTACTACTACCTTAAGCTAGATTTAAACTTATAACCTTTAGAAAACTTATAAAGTGTTAGTATAATTATAATAGTAATTAAAAAAGGTACTAATTAAGCTAATAATTAAAAAAATTAATAATATTAATATTTTATACTAGGATTCCCTTTATAATAGCTTATATAATAAGTAATAAATTATAATACCCTTTAGGGCCTATAATTCTATTATAATTATCCTCCCTTTCTATAAGCTAGTACTTAATAACTTTATAGTAAGGGATATAAAGTATTTTACCTAGGTATATTAGCCTAACTAGCTTAATAGCCTAACTAAAATATCTTATTTTAGACTTATTAGCCCTATAGGCTAATACTAACCCCTAGAAAACTATTATTTATAAGCCTAATATAAGAGATTTAAAAAGGCCCTTAGCTTAGCTAGGCTAGCTTTACTACTACTTTAAGCTAGATTTAAACCTATAACCTCTAGAAGATTTATAAAGTATTAATATAATTATAATAATAATTAAAAAGGGTGTTAATTAAGTTAATAATTAAAAAGATTAATAATATTAATACTTTATATTAAGATTCCCTTTATAATAGCTTATATAATAGGTAATAAATTATAGTGTTTTTTAGGGCCTATAATTCTATTATATTAAAATTATTAATAATTAATTAAAATTATAAATAATTATAATAATTAAAAATAATAAAAATTAATAATAATTATTACTAAAATAATAATTATTAATATAATTTATAATTTTAATATTATTAATATTATTAAAAAAATTACTTTAGCTTAAATTTTTTTTTAAATTAATTAAAAAATTAAAAAATATATATTAAGTAAGCTAGTTAATAATTACTAAGTAAAATTTTAATAATTATTATTTTAATTTTAGTTTTTATATAATTTATTTTTCTTACTTAAGACAGTTATTTATTTATTAAGTTTTTTAATATTTTAATTCTTAAGTAATTTATTTTTATACTTAAGAAAGTTAATATTTATTATTATTAAAACTTATAAATTTAAGTTTAAGCTACTTAGTTTAGTAAAACCCTTACTTTTTATATAAATATTTTATAATTACTTTTTCAAACTTAATATATTCTCTAGCTATTCTCCTAAACTAAATAAGCTACAGGGCAGCTCCCTACTTTATATTTCAACTTCTCACAGCACTTTAAACTTTCGCCATGTGTGGTCGGTACTCGTTAGCAATTGTAAGTTAATATATGGTATTAAGAGAAAACCCTTTTACATACCATGCCGAGGAGAACATCGCTGATGGCTTAGCCTCCGTCTTTAATTCGCCAGATGCTGGAGGATGATGGTGTTCTAATAACAGATGCTCCTGATGACGAGGGCTCTGATGCCCCCCATCAATCGTACAACTTTGCTCCTGGTTCTAATGGCGTTGTTTGTACGGCTGGTACACATTGCCGCGACGCACAGCCAACAACCGGTGACTCTCATACCCCAGACAGTGAACCCCTCCAAGCAAAAAAAGACCTGCAGGAGCATGGTGGCGAGGAAGTCGAGTTCAAGCTTCAATCAATGAACTGGGGAATTGTGCCTTCATGGTCGAGTAAGAATACTACCTCAACTCCAAAGGCCATCAACTGCAGAGATGATTCTCTGAGAACACCCGGTGGCATGTGGCAGTCAATGAAAGCCCGTAAAAGATGTATCGTTGTAGCTCAGGGGTTCTTCGAGTGGCTTCATGTGAGCCCTAAGGAGAAAGTTCCGCATTTTGTCAAGCGCAGAGATGGCCGCTTAATGTGTTTTGCTGGCCTCTGGGACGCTATTAAGCACGAAGGTATGAGCCTGCATGTTTGTGAGAACTTGCCAGCTAACCACTGACCTTAATCTATTGTCGAAGACACTGGAGACAAACGTTATACGTATTCAATCATCACAACCAGTTCAAACCAACAGCTCCGATTTCTGCACAATCGCATGCCAGTTATCTTTGATGCTGGCTCCAAGGACTTTCGGCAGTGGCTACATCCACAGCAAACTCGATGGACTCAAGATCTACAGTCCCTACTGAAGCCCTACGAAGGAGACCTAGATGTATACCCAGTATGTAAGGACGTCGGAAAAGTTGGTCGTAGCTCGCCATCCTTCATCTTACCGTTGAGTGACAAAGGCAATGGGCGTGATATAGCCCGGTTTTTCCCCAACACCTCTCAGGATTCGGAGCCAAAAGAACCGGCTGGGTTGGGTAAGCATGAAAACGACGGTAATCAACATACCAGCATTACCAATGCCAAGCTCAGTACCGTTGAAAGAGCAGAGGCCAACAAAAAGCACAAGATCTCTAACGCTTCTAACTCTACGTCAAAAAGGAGACAGGTTAAGCCAGGCCCCCAAGGCGTTAAGAAGATAACGGATTTCTTCAGCTGATGATTGCCGCCACAAGACTAAGAGCAATGCATCGGTAGATCATGATAGGGACAGACCTTGTATGCATTCGCCCTGCTTCAGCAAACACGAGTTGATTATAGACGCTTATGAGTATATTAGGCGTCTTACTATTGCCATAGTATGGCTTTTCTTTTTCTTTTTCGTGCTTCATTAGCTTGATTGGCCATTATCTGCAACACGCCTGATTCGGCGAGTAATGTCTGCCGCGACGATGCAACCCTTTCGTATAGCATATCGGTAGGCAAGCATTCAGCTCAGTTGATTATGTGATCCCGTTGTCTCTCTGCGAAGATCTTGATCCAAAGCCTGCCTATTCTCATCCCAGGCGAAAAGCGAACCGAATGGGAAATGCTGAATGACTGGGAATTTTGACAAAACCTCAGCATTGAACATTTTGATCATACCTTTATTAATTTTCCCCCATCCGTCTTTTATGCCGGAAATATCAAACAGCATGGGACTGTGCTCCCAGAACGGACCCTTTTTTACGTCATTGATGAACGCAACGGCCGAGAAGTACATATTGGTTTGCCTCAAGTCTTCGACAATGCTAGGATTGGTAACATCGCTTGGTTTTGGTGCGCCCCTTACAGAGCCTTCAATGGGCATCGGATCAAGCTCGCTGCTAATTGGGCGAGTAAGCTGCGCAGACCCGAAAATATATGGAATAAACGAATGGTCATCCAGACCCCATACACCATGGGAACCTGCTGGCTCAAGAGTGTATGTCGTTATCAGCTGCCTTACAATGTCGAGATACCTAACGCAGTGAGTTTATGCGAGTGCTTCATGTTCTTGTTACTTACGGGTTGATGACCAAGAGCACAATCTCCCTCTCAATATCGCCACCTTGTATGCCGTCCTTAAAATGCCCTAGCTTCCATAGACAGCCAATGAAAGCAATGAAGTTGAGCTCATGACCGGTCCCATAGTCTAGGCGCTGGGGGCTGCCAAACGCTCCGAGTAAGTAGCTTGCTACTTCGTTTTTGGCATGCCCATTGCCTATTCGTAAAGTTTCTCCAAGCAACCCATGATCGAGAAAATCGTCCAGTTCGCTATTCAACAGTTGAAACCATTTGCGGAAGCTCACGTTTCCAAATCTTTGAGACCCAGGATCAGGTGGTGCGTTGCCTATGAGCTTCTGGATGCGAGATAGTAGCGCTTGACATGATTGGATGGAGGCCGTCGTGGTAGACCTAGAACCCAAGGGAAATACAGACGGAAATGATGGGCCTTTCGGTTGTCGAGGGCAAAGGGCATGATTGAGCTGGAGAATGAAGATGCCGATATCGCGATAGGCTTCGCTGACGAGGAATCTGCGCACATCATCCGTTTGATGAATGCGTTTGACGGGTGTTTGGAAGATAGGGGGGGAAGACGGGTCGATAACACGAAGAGACGTCCAATTCTGAACATGGGACATTTTAAAAGAGATGCCTAGATTTTTTGTGGTGAGCGAAGTAAAGCAGCGTACTTCGGTCGCGAACTGATAAATTGTCAGAGCTGTCCTAGGATAGCATAGTAGCAAGAACCGGTATGACGATCATTACTATTTTTAGATATAGTCAATGACTTTACATGCCTATTTAATTTTATTTAATATATATATAGATATGCTATATACATTACTATATATATTAATAATATTTAATGTAAACATAATCAACTGTTTTGAATATTTAAATAATTATTTTAGAATTGTGTATTTAAAATAAATTATTATATTGTTTTTAGCTATTATTGTTAGTATAAAGTATCAATCTATAAATATAAGTATTTTTGATTTTATTTTTATCTGATTAGGTTAAGTATATAATTGTAGATGGGTGCAAATCGAATTTCATTTCATTTATGCACTTTGGGATTATCCTAGTCAACTCTAGGTAGGTAGGGATGCGATACTGTCATGTGCTTCATATCGCCGACCTACCTATGTCTCATGTTCTGGTTGTCTAAAGAAACAACGTTTTAAGATACTCGCATTCATATCTAATGAATAACGGCCTCCTTTCTTGTCATCCGCTTGACCAAACCCTGATTTCACTCAGGAAATCCTCTATACGGCGCCCTCATGTGGTAGTAGACACCGTGACGACATCCCGCTCAGGAGGTGTTTACTTAGCCCACCATCTGTTGCTGGTTAATCTGCAACTTGTTACTCGCTCATCTGGCTGCCGTGACCAACTCAAACCCAAGATTCCGGAAGTTGCTATCTAGAACCGCAGAATATAGCTGTACCGGCTTTTGCCCGGGGGTCCCGCCTCCCTACGGCCCTCACGTCACCCTCGATGATGGTATGTTTCCTAGTGTATTTCGTGCCACAATGCAAAGGCCGCTACCGAGTTGGAGTTCAAATGTAGAACGGAACATGTCGGTAGCGTAGCCGTGGCTAGAATCGATCCAATAAAACCAGAGTAGTAGCGATCTCGATTTCGCAACCGTCGCTAATGAAATCGGCGAATAGACATCATCTCGACCTCATGGCGAAGTTGCCGGTACCGTTTCCACACGACGTGGCCACTCGAGCCAACTGTCAATTTCAGACCCCAGTCATCACGTAACAGAGGCAATCGGCAACCTATATGATGAAGATGAGGACTCAAGTAACGAGACAAGTCGCCCGCTGAGTTTTGTTCCCGGCCCTGCATATCAAGAAGGAGGACCCCAACCACAACAACAACAACGCCTTGAAAGGCCTTTGCACTCGAACAAATCGCCAAATCTCTTTCTTCAACCAGCGTCAGATCAGCCCACACAAGCTACAACTCATAATGATAATGGTAGTTCGAAAACTTCGCCGATACGACTCGCCATAGGAAACAATCATTGGGGCGATCAGATGGATCAACACACAATGCCCGTGACATCTCCCACCCTATCTCTGCGCGAAGTTCATACACAAACACCCGGGCAGCAATTTCCCCTGACCAATATAGATAACCCGAATGATATCGCCCAGGAGTTGAGCAATTTGCAAGCGCTGAGGCGTTTATCTATGGATGTGGGCAACAGTATTGATCCAGATATACCGCCAATGTCATTAGCAGCTATGCCGGCTGTAGCGCCGAGAGGAGACGACGATGAAAACGACCCGTCGAGATTGCTTTGGGTGCCAGCTAGGGTACACCCAGAGCTTGCTCCAACCGAGTTCAAAACCTTTCTAGCAAGCCGCCTTCAGTCAATACGGAGGAGATCCGGGGATTCATTTCTTTCCGTCTCGGACGAAAAATATGGCAATGAATCGGATCCTATAAACGCTTCTTCATTAAGGAGAAAGAAGTCCTTGCTCTCACGCCAAATTGACAACTCAGAAGAACGAGCCCCTGAAGGGTTCGCTGGTGGAATAGACAGATCAGAGAGACATGGTTTCAAGGGTAATCAACAAGACCGAGAACTGAGTCTAGATGAGCTAGTAAAAGACCCTTCAAAAGCAGTTCAGAGGCTTGCTCAAGAGTCCCATAACTATTCAGGCAGTTTAGAGACTGGGATGGATGACATGCCTATCCTCCCTGTTGCGCCCAGTAGCGGATTACGGAGATCAACTCGAACAACCTATCGCAAAGGAGGGAGCTTGCGATTTGGGGACAAGACATCGTTTTCGAAGCGGATGGCACAACGCCAGCAAAGCGGCGAACCTATAGAGCCACCTATTTCGGCGGCCGAAGATATTTCTCGTGGATATCCGCTGATTAAAGTGCAGTCAGAACCTACTTCTGAGAATTTCTCAAGGCCTACCCGGCCAGATCGAAGACAAGATAGATTTTCACAAGAAACGTCCGCAACATCAACAGATTTCGACACTTCCTCTACCCCAAGGCCGTCTCAGTTCTCTGGTCGACTACCTTCTGCTCAATCCACTACATCTAACAATAATATCTCCAACCCAGATGAAGCAAGCGCTTCACAAGACAATCGGTATCCGGAAAATTTTCCACAGCGTTCTTCATCCCAGACCACTACCGCGACAGAAGAGGCCGGATTGGAGTCTGCAGCGGATAATCTTGGCGACGATACACTCAGCCACTCGAACTACCACTCCTTATCGGGCAATGCAAATTTCGAGGAAAACGGCTCGCCTAGCTCTGCGAAGTCATCAGTTCCCACCGTGGCGCAAACCAGTACAGCTGCTGTTGTGAGTCCGGTCCAATCCGGCGCTTCAAATGGTAACGCCATTCGCGCTGATACCTCAACCGTTACCCCGGCGTATACGCGAGACGACAAAAAATCGGACAAAAAGTCGAAAAGGGATAAGGACGAGGACTCTCATAATTCCACCAGATCTGGCTCTGCGTGGAAGTGGCTCAAGGGCGTTGCAGATGATAGGGACAAAAAGAAAGATGAGAGCAAGAAATCCAAGCATAAATCCGCCTCCGAAAAAGCCCAGGATAATGTGCGATTGGATGTGATCCAAACTTCAATCGAAAAGACAACTACAAAGGGTCGCGAAAGCCTAGTCCTTGACCGGGAAAGCCTCGACAACAAGCTTTCGGACGAGCGAAAGAAAGAGAGCCATCGCAAAAGTGACTCAAAGAAGGAAAAGGATGGAAGTTTGTTCTCTTCCATTTTTGGTGGTGGTAAGAAACGAGAAGAGAAAGAAAAGAACAAAAAATATCAGCAGCTGTTGCACGTTCCAGAGGACATCGTGCCTTACAAGCCTTTGCAACCAGATATTGACTACAACTGGAGTCGCTTTCCACTTCTGGAGGAGCGCGCCATCTATCGAATGGCACACATCAAATTAGCAAACCCTCGTCGGTCCCTCCACAGCCAGGTGCTTCTGAGCAACTTTATGTACAGCTATTTGGCGATTGTTCAAGCTATGCATCCCCAAATGAATGTTCCAGTATCACCCCAACAAAAGCGATTAGAAGAAGAGGCACGCCGTAAGCAGGAAGAACAAGACTACATGGCTCAGCGTGATGCACAGGATGAGGCAGATGAACAAGACCAACATCAGAGCCTTGACCAGTACGATTTTGATTATCATCGTGTAGGTTACCCCCTTTCTATAAATTTGAAGCATACTAAGTTCTTTCAGACGGCAGTGCAATACGCTGATTCCAGTCCTGATAAACCCGTCGAGTACGTGGATGATGCTCAGATATATGAAGATGATCACACACGCGATAGCCATGGTGACTACGGCGATGACGATTCCGGCGGCTATAGCCAGGAGGTGAAGGATTATTATCGGTATCAAAATGATGTCTCAGATCGACACGCCGGCCAGGATGGCGTGTGGTGATGCTTAGCCACAGGATTGCCCATCCACTCAGCTTCGCAGGTAATCATCACTTTTTGTAACATTTCCAGCGCGTGTTGTGGCGCGACCGTGGGTAGGTCTTGTTTTGAAAGAAGAGGTGGGATTGAAGGTGGCGGAAATCTAGTATACAGCGGCGTTTTAGGAGCTTGATTGCGTCTTGGTTCTCCCTCGTTGGGAGTTGATGGGGAGTGTGAAAGGTTGAGACAGCGGTGCCATGGCCATTTCTTGTGAGATATAGATTAAACGACTAGAAGTCGTGACTGTTAAACACTCTGATGATATTAATGTTGAACTACGAGATGAAGCATTCTTGCATTGATAAGCGGTTCAGCAGCATTTGGAATTCATGAGCATAGCATAGTTGTGTAGTCGTGTAGGCACTCGCCCTATTTTACGACGTTGGAACATTTCTTATAATACAACGGCCACCCAATGATTTCCTCATTGCTCAACTTCTCTCACTGCGACGGAGGATGATCCTATACATGTAGGTCATGACAAGGGTTGTAATCTATATTAACAACTTATCAGAGATCTCAAGTAATGGACTTGTACACCAATGTACACCAATGAACTGGAAATTAGGAATTTCGTGTTTCACAGCATCAGGTCAAGGAAAAATGAATTAAAAAAAGTATTTTAGTCTCATGATAAATATGAGTGTCTGTTTTAGTGGCTCTCTAGGTAAAATGTCTACTTCTTTTCCTCTGGTTTAGAAGCAGGCAGTTTGAAGGTCTCAGGTTTGCGATCTTCACCGGACCCAACTTGTTCCCAAGCGCTAGATCCTCCTTCAAAGTTTCGGAAAGCTTGAGTAAGTTCTAGTGGCTCGGTGACAATTCGTTTCTTCTCCTCATCATAGCGAATCTCGGTGTATCCAGTGAGTGGGAAGTCTTTTCGAAGAGGGTGACCCTCAAACCCATAGTCCGTCATGATACGTCTCAGATCAGGGTGGCCCGTAAAGAAGACGCCGTATAGATCGTAGACTTCACGTTCATACCAGTTAGCGCCGCCGAATAAGCTGGTAATGCTTGGCACAGGGGATGACTCGTCGGCGTAAGTTTTGACTCGGATGCGAGAGTTGTATCGAACGGAGAGCAAGTTGTAAACAACCTCAAATCGGTTACTGCGGGTAGGGTAGTCGCATGCAGTAACAGTACTAACTTGAGTAAACTCTGCGGCCGTATTATCTAGAGGCATGGAAGGTTAGATCTTTGCCGAAGCAGAAGAAAAGGCATACAAACACTTTAGGAAAGAAAAGACCGGGATAACCCCAGATGGAGAAATGTAAATAGTGAGTTCATCTTTCCAGACGGAGAATTGCTGGATGTACTTTGGGAGGCACCCCATTAACCAAGTTCCATACCGATGAAGGTCGTCTGCCTTGCTCTGGTATTTGGCTGTCGGGTTGACGATGGGCGCTTTGAGGGTTCCAATTGCGTCTCTCGGGGCTTCTCTCATGTTATGGGACTCCTGCGGCATTGCGACCATTCGAGAAGAGGAGATTGATATCGCTCTGGTGATTTGTCCAGCGCGAGCTCGCGTCAAGGCCTTTGCAGGCTCAAGAGTTGAGCTCAAAGTCGCTCTCCATGGGACCTTGCTTGCCATAGCGAATTGTTTGCTGGGATACAATGGCTGCGAGACTTGGGTGAACTGGTGGGGGAGTCGAATTGTTCCATGAAGCAATTAGCTCAGATTCATGGACTCGGTTTGAGTCTCCGGTGATTTGCCGTAGGATGTGATGGCGTGTTGTAGCTCGCACTGTTGAGCACTTAGGTAGCCCAGCATGCTGCGTCTACCTAGTAGGTACCTGGCTCCAACGTCTCAAATACAGTGTAAAATATATATTTATACTATAAATCTTAAATCACACAACAAAGTAAAGAATACAACTGTAAGGCGACTTTTGAGTTGCAAATTTGGGAATCTGTACAGTGAGCGCCCGACACTGTCCCAAAGTCTACGTACCTAGCAAAGGGAATAATTTCCAAAGTAAATAAAGCGAAAGCCCGTAGTTCACTGATTCCATCTTCTTGCATTACTAGCTAGCGCTTTTATATCGCAATAGTGAGGCTGGAATCACGTGACTGTGGGGGCCGCTGAATTTAGGACCAAGCGGCTGCTCGTTCCACACGCCACGCTCTGAACAAACATCATCAATAGCTATCAACCATTTGGCCAGCACAACCACGTTTTTCTTCTTCTTCTTTCTTCACATATCTGACGATAACGAAAATCCTTCTAATACAAGCATGGCACCACAGGATTCTTTCATAGAGGAAGACGAAGATGTCTGGTGAGTGAACGTAGAGGAGTATATTCATTGAGAAGAAGTCACTCTCTAATGCCGTCACAGCCCTCTTTGCATCGAAGAATTCGATTTGTCCGACCGGAACTTCCGCCCTTGTCCCTGCGGCTACCAGGTAGCCATCCCTTTGACCCCATAAACAAAATAGCATAGACTCCTAACAAAAACATTTTTAGGTCTGCCAATTTTGCTTCAATAACATAAAAAATAACATGAATGGCCTGTGTCCGGCATGTCGACGACCTTACGACGAGAAGACCATCCAGTGGAAAGTCGTGACACAAGAGGAGTAAGCTCTATGTCCATATTATCAAGATTTCGCGAGCTGACTGTTTTCAGGGTTGCCGAGTTCCGTGCAAATATACAAAAAAATCAACGCAAGCGAGCTCAGGAACAGCGCCAGAAGGAGGTTCAGAAACGCGAAGCTGAGAAAGAGAATCGCAAAAATCTCATCGGAGTACGTGTTGTGCAGAAGAATCTCGTTTACATTACTGGTCTAGCGCCTACTGTCCGCGAAGATGAACTCCTTAAGACGCTTAGGAAGCCCGAGTTTTTTGGGCAGTACGGCGTTATCCAAAAGATTTCGATTAGTAATCGGAAAAGTTCGGATGGTCAACACCACTCCTTGGGCATCTACGTTACTTTTGAAAAACCCGATGAAGCAACTAGGTGTATTCAAGCTGTCCATGGGTCACAAAACGGCGACCGGATACTAAAAGCTCAATATGGAACGACGAAATACTGTTCAGCATGGCTCAAGAACGAGAAATGCAACAACCCTGGCTGCATGTTCTTACATGAACAGGGCGATGAGGAGGACAGCTATACTCGCCAAGATTTGTCATCCATGAATAGCATCCACACACAGCGGCCGCTACCTGGCGGAAACAACAGCTCTTTCCGCACAACCCCTCGACAGCAAGCCTCGCAGCCAACCCTGACAGCCATTTCGCAGACCATGGCGCGTTCTTCAAGCAAAGATGGCTCGGATTACGGATTAGATGGTTCTGCTTTACCTTCTTCAGCCAATTGGGCCCGAAACCCCCAGCGCAGCCGGCGAGGTAGCCATGCAACGAGCGGCACTCCATCCAGCCCCGCTATTTCAGCCTCGTTGCCTACTACAACAGAAGTTGCTCAAGAAGCTGTGGAGGATACCGAATCTCCTCCATCTACCCAACCTCCGGAAGATGATAAAATCTCAAATCAAGATCCTGCCGAAGAACCACAGCCGCCCCCATCACAAGGCTCACTGGCGACCATCCTACGGGCGTTGCAGAATTGTACATTTACGAGCTTCGTTACTCCGCAATTCAACGAATTGGAACCTCCATTATTCGATATTCGAGGAGGGAAAAAGCGAAAAGCCATGCGTGAGGACGACGATGCACGGATTGGTGGTGACCAGAAGAACGCAACCGAAGGTCAAATTCAGCCGGAAGGCGAGGCAGAGACAGGCGGCAGCCTTGCTCTTGGTGGTGAACCTGAAGAACGCGATGTAATCGGTGATGGGCAGGGGTTTGAGCACCGGCATATCAACTCATTTCCCCCCATACAAAGAAACAATGCCGATACTCTCTTTGGTCCTGCTCTTAGTGGTTCAAACTTCAATCCAGGTACAAGCCAGATGGGTCGAGGAGTTGCCCCCCCGCAGTTAATGTCACTGCGACCTCAATCAGGGTTCAGCGATCAGGTCCCTTCGGGCCTATCTAGCCAGGCTACGTTCCAAAATCAAGGTCATAATCGTCAATCATCCCGGTTCGGCTTTATGGCTGACAGCCCGCCAGCAGCAACAAATCTCAAATTTGCCACGAATCAAAGAATCATGGGCCAGCAATCATCCATGGTATCTAACTCGTTGCAATCCTCAGGTAGCAGCCACTTTTTTGGCAGCTCCATGCCAGCGCCACCGCCAGGACTCAAGTCCACAAATACACCGCCAAATATTTTTGGTCAAGGATTTGGCGGCTCGGCATTTGGCCCTACAACGAAAGACGCACCTGGCGACTTATTACAGAGTTTAATTAGTAGGAGCCGAGGCGGTGGTAACCAGCCTCATGATGGTGGAAAGCGTGAGTACATGATCTCTTCTTTTTCTAATCAGTATCCACCACCCTCAACCTCTACCCCAGCTCCTACTTCTGGCCTTTTGGCATCGCTCTACGGTAACCACCCCGGAGCATTCCAAGACTTTGGCTCGAAGCAGAAGAAAAAGGGGAAGAAGCATAGACATGCTAACACTTCCTCCTCGGGGGGGAGTGGTCTAGTGGATCTTGCGGACCCGAGTATACTGCAGGCGAGGATGCAGCACCAATCGCAAAGCAACACCGGAGTCAACCAGGGAGTTTTCAGCGGTCAGAGCCAAGGTGGGTATGTCCCGAACATGATGTATAATTCCAGTTATGCTCGGTGGTAGCATAACCAAGGGCATCGCATGATATGTTGATATTCATTGCACACTTTTATACTGTACTAGAGGGGCGCTCAAGAGGACCTGCATCTGAAGTTGGGGCTATTTTTATGGATTCTCGAGACATACCCTTATTCCAGCGGGTGTATTCACGATAACGGCTGGAGGCGCACTTCATTTTCTTTCTCCTTTTTCTTTCGGCCAATTGCATTAAAGCCGGCGAGAGTGGTCCTTCTTTTCTTGTTTCACATCATTTTCTCTTTTTCTTCCTACGGACCGAGTTTTATGGTTTGACGCAAGGAGTATCCAGTAAGGCAAACCATCATCGTCTTCCACACAAGCCCTCCTGTATGTTAACGGATTGCATGGAGTCACCAACATTGGTGTCTCCTTGGGTCGCAATATATAATACCGAACTTCTCTACCTTTCCCTCGTTGTTCCCCGTGGAAGACGATGATGGAGGTCGTAGGATGGCTCCTTTTGCCTTTGTATTATAAAACTCCCCAATCCGTAGCCCGCTATCCCGTCATTGCCCTTGTATGAAGCCCTCATTGTATTGCACATTGCTAATGTGTTCTTTAGACCATGATCTTAGTTTACTGGACGAGGCAGAATTATCAGTGGATGCACTGGTCTCAGATGAGTCCTTACCGGCCCTGGTATCATCTCCATCAACCACCAACGCCCGTCGTCTGGCTTCTTCCTTGGACAACCTGGATCCCCTCAATCACTCGACTCCTAAAGGTGTACTGATGCAGGGACAGTCACAACGTTTGAACTTGATTCCAAGCTCACCTCGCATTTCAACTTTTGGGTCTATTTATGACCCAATCTCGTCTATCCAGACACCTTCAAAAATGGATGGTACCGACAACCATGAGGTCGACATCCACACCAAGCCTCATGCAGCAAAGGACTCTTCTCATGTTGCGATGCTCGGACCTTGGCCGACTTCTGCTAGAGGATCTATACTTCAAGAAGAGGATTTCCCTGCTTTAGGCGCGCCAAGGACAAATGAAACTATAAGCACCAACACTGGTTTGGTTACTCCTAAAACCATAATATCGAAAACCATATCAACAATGAAGAGGCAAAATGATAGAATTTCCGAAACCGTGCATGAAGATCATGGAGATATCATCAACGCGGATGAATCTCAGCCTACACGAGGCGGCGACGCGAAATCTCTCAGCTCCATGGTTCATGGTTTTGGAGCTAGTTTCATCTCTCAACCCAAAGAAGAGGCTGCAAAAGTAGATGATTTGGCAGAGGCTTCCAGATTCCCTCCCTTGCCTACTCCTGCCATTAGCAGTGGAGTGGCCACGCCCCCGCGAAGTATACCAAAAACCCTAAGAGTGGTTCCTTCATCAATCAAGACGGAGACACGCCCAGCTTCACCGTCTCCTCTTTCAGTCTCCAATGTACCTGCAGTGGGAAAGCCGGGACATTCCCACCGACCTGGCACACCAGCCAGCGAAATGATAAGTGATACCGCCTCTGTTACCTCGTTTTCGGTTTCCATTTCTCGGGCTGGATCCCCTCCTCTAAGCAAAGTTGGCACCGCTCCAATAAGAGGTACCACGAAGAGTCAGCAACGCAAACAGCGCAAAGATGTGTTGAAGCAAGAAACAAAGACCTTGGCTGAAACACCCAAGACGGAAGAAGCTGAACATGCTCCTGTCATTGGACGCAAGAAAAAACAGAAGAAGGAAAAGCCCGCTAAAGAGGTTAATGCCATGCCTTCGGCAGCCATTCCGACAGAAATGTTGAAGGACGAAAAGGAACCCCTGTCTAAAGACGATGGAAAGCCATTGGCTGATAGCAACAATGAAGAATCGAAAACAGACAGCAGAGGATATACAAACAAAGACAAGCAAGATGCTAGGAACTCAGCGAAAGAGGTAAACGAAGCAACCGCTTCGTCGCCGACACCTTCATTGTCCAGAGCAGCTGAACCTGCAGATAAAACTGTTGAAAGACCACAGTCGAGCCCTGCATCCGTTTTCGCCAATATCAGAGAGTCGCTCTGCACGTCTGCTCCAGATAAACTGCAGCTGTTAAAGCCTGTTTCTAGCAATTCATCCAGGCCAGAGCATAATTCATTAAACCAGCTAAGCAAAAGGGGAGATTGCAAGGATAGCACTTGCAGATGTGGTGAGATGCAAGATGCTGATCTCGCAGCACTACGAGCCGGAAGGCCTGTGCGTAAACAATTTCATACTGATGGCAGCCGCATGCTAATCACCCCTCATGGAGATTGCATCCGTGGGTTGACACCGGAAGAAGAGGATACCTTTTTGGCCCTCCAAACTGCAATTGCTGCAACGGCAGAGAATCCTGCTGCGTTCGTGGCACCAAGGCATCAGCCAAGCAGCGGAGCCTTCTCGCTCATTAAGGGCCGAGCAGTTCCAAACGGGCGACCGAACATTTTCCCCTCTACCGTGCAGCCACAATCTCAGGATCCCATTGGCAAGCTTCAACGAGAGGATGCATTAAGTTATATCAATCAGTATGTGCTACCTCGGCTAAGCCTTGGGGCTACCAGCATGGGATTCCCAAAGGGGGCATCTTCCACTCGGGACTCGGCGAGCCTCAATTCTCTCGCGCCATATTTTTACGGCCCGGATGCTGCCGCCGGAGTGGGCATCTACAGTACACCAGAAAGCGCTCGAGCGATACAGGATTTTGCTGCGCCGGGCATGTCACTTGACGAGATTGGTAAAGGCGCGGCGGCCAGTTCGATCGGCAATATGCCCCTGATGAGTGTTGAGGATGCCGAGGCAGCGTTAACAGCAGCAAAGCGAGAGACGGAGAAGCTTGAAAAAGGCTTGAACCTTGTTATTAAGCGGAACCGTAGACTTCTACTTGGTGCCTGACACGCGCACATGCGTAGGCTCTTGAACTACGGGTTGCTGAATTATTATGTATTACTAGGTATATATGACATGCATTTATTACCTGAAGGCAGCCTTCACCTCTACCCTAGGCCATTCAAAGAATACCTCCCCGCCGTAGACATCTGTGATAATCCTGCCTATCCTGCCTTCAACCTCGGTGTAGAACTCTTCGCATTCTTTAAGCACCCTGACGACCAGGCCCCGGCTGAGGGTTGGATCGTCAGCATCGCCGAAATGCTTTTCCACGCGTTTCCGCAGAGTTTCAATTCCCTTTCGTACTTCCTTCGCATCATAAGAGCCCAGCACTTTATTGAATGCCGTCTTATTGTTTGAAGGCTGTCGAGCGATTGCCATTGCGGACTTGCCGGTTTGCAGCTGCGCTTCGATATTCTCAATCTGCTCTAGAAGTCGCCCCAGGGGTCGCCGCATCACCGCATTTAGATAGAGCGCCATATGCTCATGATATTCGGTATTTGCTTGTGCTTTCCAGTTCTCAAGAACCTCTAGGCCGCGAGCATCAGTCTCTTCGAGGAAGTGGTTCATGTTCTCGATCAACAAAATGTGAAAATTCAGCGCCTCCTTGTCCTCTGGATCAGCCGCTCCGCCGGCAACCCCGACAACAGCCGGGTGCTCACGCGCAATCACCATTAGTGATTCGAACATTGTCTTCAAAATGCGATCGTACTCCCGATTTACCGTCCGCCGCAAGATTAGGTTATGGTCCAGTCCAGCGACCATGTTTTCGACGGCGGCCATAAAAGCGGGAAATATTCGTATGAATGATATGACACCCTTGCGCTTCTTAATTTTAACCTTGGTTTCCTCGATGGCTCGTATCTGTTCGTCAACAAACTTTCTGAATTGCCCCTCCAATGATGCATGCAGCTTCTGGAGAAGGGCATTTAAGAAGTCTTGGTTAGATTGCCCCATTTCGGATAATTTTCTCTCAAGTGTAGCGAGCACTCCAACTCCTTGACTAAGTCACAGCCAGTCAGTCTTTTTTCCGATGTGCTTCGAATAGCAGTTCAACTTACAGTGGATCTTGAGCGATTGCCCACTCCATCAGCCTTCGCAACTCAGCCTCGAGGAATGCAAAAATGGCCTCCATGGACCGCGTAACACGGCGAGCAAGTTCTCGGTCAGGTTCCATGAGCCTATGACGTTTCAAGTCGCCTCCACGGCGGTCTCGAGGGGGAGATGCTGCAACTGCCTCTGGGAAATCTGCTTGTTCCAGCGTAGTCGCATGGAAGAAATCGATGATAAAGTTTTGTTCCATCTCAACTAGAGGCAAAAGATCTTCCAAGGCCTCAGAGAAGATTTCGTACGGCAGGCTTCTGTTATCCGTAGTGTTCCTTTCAACGTGCGCTCTGGTACCACCATCTGCCAATGGCGAGCGTAGAGCCTTAGCTAACGTTTGGCTACGTTTGACGGTTAACTTCCTGGCCGCTGTAGCCACACCCTCCTGCTGTTTTTCAACTTGAGATGAGAAAATCACCTCTGCTTCATCTCCTGTTAATTTCCTCGCATTTTTACGCCAAAGAGTGATCACATGCTGAAATTCGTGCTTATACACGGGAGAGCTCTTGTCTTGATATATTTGCATGAGGCGATTCCAGTTTTCCAGATCCGCATCTCTCGCGTAGAGCATTAAGGGGCTATACTTCCACAGAAGATCTCTGCCAATGCTGTGATGTGCAGGATCAACTTTTTTCGAAAGAGCACCATCTAATGCTCGCTTGGTTTCGACATAAGCTTCGGCAAACTGGCCGGTCATGAAGTCCAGTAGTCGTTTCATGAAGTACCTGCTTTCGTGCAGGTACATTTCTCTCTTCTCTTGTACAATTCTCATCTTGCCGTAATTGCTGTTAAGCCCCAAGGTATTGTCAGCGTCCAGAGCAGTGTCTATAGACTTTCCGGTGTCGTCGCCTCCAAGAGAGGGATCAATCTTTATCATGGCTCTAAAGAGAGTCACAAGGGAGAGTTCAACTTCTTCCAAGCCTCGAAGACTGTCCAAGGGAGCCTGTTGAAGTGCCTGGAGATCGGTCGAAGTAATGGCGCATGTTTCTAGCAATGACTCCAGTTCCTTCCTTAGCAATTTTTGGTTGGCCGTTTGTACCTGGAGGCCTTGGCCTTGGGCTTCAATATACGCAATGTCGTCTGAGAGGGTCTTGAGGTTGTCAGCTTGATGTCCGGAGATAAATAGAAACTACTAATAAAGAGAGGAAAGGAAAGGAAAGGAAAGGAAAGGAAACATACCGAGAGCTCCACTGAATATAACGTGAGTAAATTATCCAGCTCTTCGCATTCGCCCATAGCAAGATCGATTCCTCGTTTGATCGTATTTACCCTCTCATCCTCTTCTCGAAAGCGTGCTAGCCACCCCCCCGCTTGGACTGTGTTTAATTCTCGCTCCAGGTCATTACCTATATCGTCCATATTTAAGCAGTGCATCTGATCGCCAGGAACCCAGCCAAAGAAGTCCAGCCATTTGCCAAATTCTTCGCTGCGATCATCAAGGATAATGGGGTCAACACCCAACCTCTGAAGATACCTAGCATCCTGTCCGATGACTACGGGCCGGCGAGAGGCTTCTTTTGAAACTGCTGCGTCCTTCTCGGTCTCACTAACTTCTTTGGTTGGCGTTGGTGCATTTCCAGGGGTATTTGACTCGGCCACCAATATTTTGACCTCTGGTATTGTCAAGTCACTGATGGTTGGCTTTGGTGTTTCAATGGTGGGAGGATTTGCATCGCGAGAGACAGGTCTAGGCGGTGCTGGGACAACGCTTGTAATGCCATCTGGACCCTCGTTTGCTTTCACTTGGTTTTGGCGGAGGCGTTCTCCGGCTCCTCCCGGCCGTGGACGAAAAGCGTTTGCGGCAGATGCAGCTTTCCAAAATGCACCGGCAACATCCCCTTTGGATATCTTAGACTTTATCATAGGGCCTAAACCGGGACGAGTTTCCTCATCTGGCGAGGTTAACTGTTTTTCAAGGTTTGTCGCGTCCTTTGTTCCTGATTGATCCGGTAGATTTGTGTCCACTGGTGGGGTAGTGGATAGATCTTTCAAGTCGCTGTTGATACTGATGCTCCCTGGTTTTCTCCCCACATCCTCCAGGGGCTCCGTGAGACGTGGTGGGCTTCCGTCTTGGCTAGTTCTGCCAGCAAAAGCTATGCCTGGTTGTAACACTGATGGAATTGCTGGAGAGGCAACCCGATCGATACTCCGTGGCGGAGGTGCCACCGGTTCCTTTCTAGCTGGTGAGCTCATCAAGGGGGCAGGGACCAAATCCCTATCCTGGGGTCTTGAAGGATCCATAGGGGGTCGTCTTCTTTCGGGTGGTAGTTTGCTTTCCAGGGATGGGCGAGGCATAGCAGGTATAGAATCGTGAGTTGAATCGGGAACATCTCGAGGTTCGCTCAGTCCACTTAGGCCACTCGGTCCACTCATGCCGCTGCGCGAGCGCGGTGGGATGCTCGACGTATCATCGCCTTTTGTTGCAGTAGAGTTGGCAATAGAATCTTGGCTTTTGTTGTTTTGGGCTGTCCATCGAGGAACGGATCGTTCTCTGGATGCAGTAGAGTCGAAACTTCCAGCAGGAGACCTATTTTCATTTGCCGAAGGCCGGACAAGAGGGGAGGGCCTGGGATATCGCGGGGCCTCTCCAAGGCTACTTTTAAGGGCGGCTGAGGATGTCGCGATAGTTTGCTGGCTGGTTGCTGGATCAATCGTTTGCTGCCGAGGCGGAGTTCCGGTAGGGCGTTTGCCTGCCCCTAGAATTTGGTCCAATTCCCTCGCGTCGAACCCTGATAGCTCGGGTAATTTGCCTCCTGTATATTTGCCATAGATTTTTATCAAACTTGCAATGAAAAACTTCTTCTCCTTTTCGGTTTGAGCTTGCCAAAAATATGGCTTCCCCAATGTAACGAGGAAGCCCGTCTCTCCAGCCCATTCTCGCAGATTTGGGCTTACCTTGGGCCCCGTATAGGATTCGATGTGTGAGAGATCGTCTAGGTTCCATGTCTTGCCGATTGAGAAAGATCCACTATTGTTCTCCTTGGCTTTGTGGACTCGAACTCTTCCAGACTTTCGTACCGCCACAACAATAATCCTAGGCTTCTCCGTATTCTGACCCCGAGCTTCAGGAGGAGGCGGCATCGACGAATGTGAGGAGAACTCGGTGACGCGAATATGGGTAATATAAGTTTCATGGACTATGGTAGAAGATTAGTCCAGGCCGGATTTCCATGTTTTTAGTTTCTGTGTCTTACGCAAGCCATCTGTATCCTTTTTGTTGAAACAGCTGTCAATGATTCGACGTTTCTCATCCTCGAACCTTTCCGCCCTCGTGGCGGCCGTGTTGGAACCGGCTGTGCTTGAATAATCCATTTTGAAATCCAGAAAAGAGACCACTAATGAGATCAATAGTCTAATTTAACAACTCAAACAAGCCGCCCGGCTCCAACATTGTGTGCAAGCTACGACGCGTGCAGGATCATGAATAGCGCTCCGTATAATGAAGCTCCAAGTTCAATGTCACTCGCATGGGGGCGTGATGCCCCACAGCTACCTGTACCTAGGTATTCTACTTAACGCATAGCATCACAAATCTGCGCTAACTAAGTATGGGATGAGCCTAAATTCATAAAGAAGATATTTATTTAAAGATTTAATACAATATTACGTAATAATAAGTTTTAAACTAGGATCTACTCCGTACACATGGAATTATCTTATTAAAATACCACTTTAAAAATATATTATATATTATACTAAATAAAAAGAACGAGACGGAGAATACTATTATTAAACAGAATAATAAATTCTGTGCTTATATGCGATAAAAAATCCGCTAATTCTTTAATTTATTCCCTCTTTAAATCTCTCAAGTATGGGCACTAGGCTGCTCGCCAACCAATCAGGAAGCTCCATTATCAAATCCAATTCCAATTCAGAGTCTTGCCAGCACTCTCCCACCAGCTCTTGTCCTGTCATTCTGCCACCCTGCCCATCAATCGCAACAACACCATGCTGTCTGCCCGAGCAACTTCCAGGAAGGCCGTCAGTCTCTCGCGAGGCGCCACGAGAGGCCTGGTCACTGTTCAGGATGCCGCTCCTGTACGAACATATGGTGGGCTGAAGGACCAGGACCGGATTTTCCAGAACCTTTACGGGCGATACCCGGCCAACCTCCAGAGCGCTAAGAAAATGGGCGATTGGCACAAGACAAAGGAGATCCTTTTAAAGGGCGACGATTGGATTATCAACGAAGTCAAGGCCTCTGGTTTGCGCGGACGAGGTGGCGCGGGCTTCCCCTCTGGTCTCAAGTGGGTATGTCACGATCTTCGACCTTAATATCGACCTTGATGGGTTTCTAACTCCTAGGCAGTCCTTCATGAACTTCAAGGGCTGGGAAAAAGACACAAAACCGCGGTATCTCGTGGTAAACGCCGACGAGGGTGAACCCGGTACCTGCAAGGACAGAGAAATCATGAGGAAAGACCCGCACAAACTCGTTGAAGGTTGCCTTGTTGCAGGCCGGGCAATGAACGCCACCGCCGCCTACATTTATATCCGTGGCGAATTCTACCATGAGGCCGCCATTCTCCAAAATGCGATCAACGAGGCCTATGCAGATGGGCTGATTGGCAAGAATGCGTGTGGTTCCGGATACGATTTCGACGTCTACATTCACCGCGGTGCTGGTGCCTACGTCTGTGGAGAAGAGACATCTCTGATCGAATCTATAGAGGGAAAGCCTGGAAAGCCTCGACTCAAGCCCCCTTTCCCCGCCGCGGTCGGTGTTTTCGGGTGCCCCTCAACTGTTGCCAACGTGGAAACTGTTGCTGTTGCGCCGACGATCTGTCGCCGTGGAGGAAGTTGGTTTGCTGGGTTTGGCCGCGAGCGCAACCAGGGAACTAAGCTGTTCTGCATTTCAGGCCATGTTAACAACCCTTGCACCGTTGAAGAAGAAATGTCCATTCCCCTTCGCGAGCTTATTGACAAACACTGCGGTGGGGTCCGAGGCGGCTGGGATAATCTGCTAGCCGTTATTCCTGGTGGTTCTTCGACTCCGATTTTGCCCAAGAATGTCTGTGACAACCAATTGATGGATTTCGATGCCCTGAAGGATAGCCAATCGGGTCTAGGCACAGCTGCAGTTATTGTCATGGACAAGAGCGCGGATGTTGTGCGTGCGATTAGCCGCTTGAGTCACTTCTACCGCCACGAGAGCTGCGGCCAGTGCACACCATGCCGTGAAGGCAGCAAGTGGACGGAGCAGATAATGAGCAGATTTGAAAAGGGCCAGGGACGGGAGAGGGAAATCGACATGCTTCAGGAGTTGACAAAGCAGGTTGAGGGTCACACTATTTGTGGTAAGTGCTTTTCGGCTCTCCGTTGCACATCTTCAGTTCTTCTAACATTCCATAGCTCTTGGCGAAGCCTTTGCATGGCCAATTCAGGGCCTCATCCGTCATTTCAGACCTGAGCTAGAAGCCAGGATGGAGAGCTTTGCCAAAGCCCAAGGGGGGGCTGCTCTGGCTGGTGGGTGGCAACATGATTCAAGGGCCCATGGAAAATTGGTTTCTCCTGGTCAGTGATGATGATAATTTTTATATATAGATTATCTGCTGGACCGGTATCGCCCATGGTTCAGCCTACGCGATTATTCGCCTGGTCTGATGATGGGTCTTAATATGTACAAAAAAAAAAATACGAATTACTTGAAAGTAGATACTATTAAGCATGTCTCATTGATATTGGGGAACTACTACGCAGTAGATTAGGTTTGAGTCCCCGAAGCAATGAGATATTCAATGCTTATGTGACGGTATAGCCACCATCAACTCGAATATCAGCACCAGTTACGTAGCTGCTAGCATCAGAGAGCAGGAAGGCTACAGGGCCCATGAGATCTTGGGGTAGGCCCATCTTGCCTTGGGGAATAAGAGATACCCATTTCTGCTTGAGATCTGGGTTCTCATCCAGGATTTTCTGGGTTCTAGATGGAATACCAAGTCAGCTGGCCAGTCTCACAATAAAGAACAGCCCAGGTTAATTGACTTACAGCGCTGTCAGCATGTATCCTGGAGAAAGACAGTTGACCCGAATGCCAGCATGGGCCCACTCAACGGCAAGGGATGCTGCTAGATGGCGAACCCCTGCCTTGGAAGCGTTGTAAGGACTAGTTCGTTCCAATGTTAGCTGATCGAGACTCTTTCAACTCCCCTTTTCATTGAGTTCTGTATTATGCGGGCATGCGAATGGGATCAGCATCACTCACGCTTGGGGCTGGGGGACATTGACAATGGATCCCGACATGCTGCCAATCATGACCATGCTACCGGGGCTCTTCCTCTCCATCAGATGACGAGCAACTGAGGTGGCGAACAGATATGTGCCATCGACGTTGACAGCCCACAGCTTTCGAAGGCGATCAATTGGGTAGTTGACGGCCTCGAAGTTTTCAGTGAAGCCAGCCGAAGTGACCAAGTTGTCTATCTTGCCGTGCTTCTGGACAATCTCAGCTATACACTGTTCGACAGAGTCGGCATCAGCAACATCGGCGTAATGTGCCGTGACTTTGGGAATGCTGAAGGTCTGTTAGACACGACATTTGAAGATATCAGACCTCTTTGGGCACTAACCGTTCGGCATTGGGGTTTTCCTTGACAAAAGCATCTACAATCAGCTTTGCCTGCTTCTCGGCCTCCTCCTCTGTTGCTACGTCAGCTGTCTGGGAACAATGCCTCTGCACCGACCTGGAATCTCACTGTTCATGTCGACCAAGGCTAGATCGGCCCCGGAGTAGACCATTCCCTGGCCAATCACAAGCCCCAGTCCTCTCGCGCCGCCGGTGACGACGCCAACCCTTCCGTCAAGGGTGAAGCTGGGGAGTGTCGGCTTGACATACTGGCCACCAGCAGAGACCGGCTTGCTGCTCGGAAGCTCATGCTCGGCAGGATACTCAATCTCGACTTCAGAGTCTGTTCGAGAGTGGCTTCCAGGCTTATCCTGTCGTGGCGGCACGTAATGGAACTGTCTTACTGCGGCCAATGGCAGTCGACTGGTTGGTCTGAGCGCAAAGGCTCGGCTCGCCAGCCGCAGCATGGACGCGGACGATTTCAATGTGGCAACCATGTTGGTGGATTTGGAGAAGGATGCTGCGAAAGCTTCAAGGTGGGAGAAAGGATGATATATATACGATGGATCGCCTACCTACCTATGAATCGCCTCCTGTACCTGCCAGTATATCTCCCGATGTCGCTCTTACGGTGGCCAGTGGAGGCAGCTAAGAATTCTCCAGGGAAGTGCGGATAGCCACAGCGGTTGTGCTATAGACTTCCAAGGTTGCTGCTAGCAGTACGAGCATGTACAAGTATGTAGGCATGCTGCTAACGGTAGTGGCTGTGGAGGCAAGCTTTCTGCACTGCGACCCAGCAGAACCTTACCTGCCTATCAGCCATTTGGATCCCGCCCAAGATATTGTGTGCCTGTGCTGCTCTCTGATACGTTCCTCGTGAGAGGAGGGATAGCTTCCAGCCACCCCAGTATTTCATGGTCCAGGATACCTATGTAGCTTTTTTGCCCCTCGGGGATACAGTTACTAGCCCTAGCTACCCCTAGCTACCGTTCCATCCTCTAAAGTCCGTTCAATGGCCTTTCTTCGTGTACTGTTCAAATGGCCCAGAGCACGAGGATCGAAAATTCCTGCTGGGTTCGGATCATTGCTTTCAGGCATCATCCAATTTTAGAGTGGATAGCCTGGTTAGCGTGACCCTCGCCTGGAAATCGAGGCCACTTGTGCATCAGGCAGCAGAATTAAAAGACCCCCCAAGGGCTTGAGTTGGGGAATTTGATGCTAAGCACTACTACCTAACCCAGTGGGTAATACTATCGTGGAGGGATCACGCGTCTCCCTTTTGTATTTGTATTTTAATTTGTCGAGGATATACATTGCCCTGAGTGTGTTATCTTCCAATACCTGCTGTTTGGTATAATGGGAGGAGCCCGCCTACCTAGCAGCATTGAGGAATGGAGAGTGTCATCGTGAACTTGATCTCCAGTTCTCTCCACCAACGCTTCACATCATCCCAAACCCAGCTAACCACCACGTTCCATCCCACGCTGAGTCTAGACAAAAGGCACCCAAGCAAAGCCGTCAGACAGAGTCTCAGATGTCAATTGATATGCAGCTACCAGTAGCAGGCACTCAACAAGGCCGGTGCTCCATATCACGAGGGCAATGTCTATTAATCCCCCCCCCACGCTATAGGGTAGTCCGTTTAGTACTCTACCCAGAGCTTCGCCTAGAACTACCAAGGATACTACGTAGGAACGGCATTGAGAAGCGCCTATGCCAGCTATCACATACGTCTTATTCATCCAGTGCCGTCCAAGGTCGGTGGTCTAAGCACACACAAAAAAAAGGTCTTGTTGCTCTCCCATGTTGTGCGGGGCATTCTTCTGGTGTTAACTGCGGGGCAATCCGAGCTAAAGCAACAAGCAAGGTACACGGAATAAATACTTCCTGGCTCAATATCGACATCGACTTGTCGAAAATTCTAATAGCCCGATGACTTGTCCACCACTACCTGCTAGGGTCGTGAATCGATATGTCTGAACATGCCCCCAGCAGCAACGCTGCCGAGGGCTCTATGGACCTGTCTCTATCTGCCCAGGCTCTAGCTTCGTCGTCCCCCGCGGTGCGCATTGCTGAGCTGCATCTTGTGGGAGAGGCAGCGGCTCGGAAAGGTACCATCCTACTTGCCTCAATTCGACACATCTCGGTTTAGCTGACTACTGCCTTAGCATCTGACGACGAATTCTCCTCCAAGGTTCTACAACTCCTCTTTAATACCCATGCGGCGTACCAGGATCGCGAGTCTCGGCTGGCAGCCCAGAAATGCCTGGTGTCCCTCGTCACGAGAGAGGCTAGTTCCTCAACACTGCAGCTATTGGTGAAAACTCTACGACAAGAGTCCTCGAAGCAGGGTATTGCTACGTCTAGCGCCTTTGTCTTGGTCGAGTGGTGCAGCGCTCTGCTTCAAAGCCTATCCGAGCCTTCGTGGAAAGAATCTGGAAGTGAAATTCTACTGGCATATGCAGATGTCCTGGAGAAATGTCTACGGCCCTCTTCGAAGCCTACGCTGGCGCATTCAGCCATAATAGTCACTCGAAGGGGATTTCGAAAGCTTTTCAACTCCCCAACCCTGGGGCCCCAGAATTTAACTGATGCTGTGACGAATTTAACGTCCAAACGTAGTACGCCATCGGCAAAAAACTCTGTTATTTTGGGAATCATCGCCGGAGTTGGTGCTCGTCGGCCCGCAGTACGACCTACGCTGGAAACTCATAAGCCCTTGTATTACGAATTTTACAATCGCGAGATCCTGGGCTCTAGGACTACGCTGCCAGGACACATCTCCGCCGGACTGGGCGACTTCTTTTCAAGCTTTGCGATACTCGATGAATTTCAGACTCAAGTTACTCCAGCTCTGGAGAAAAGCTTGCTTCGTACGCCGGAAGTCATTTTGGACGGTGTTCTCCAAAACTTGGTGAAGGATTTGCCTACCGAAATTGATCTCTCAGACTTGCTGGCCGGTAAGCTCCTGAAGCAGTTACTTTCAAACGTCAAATCTACCAATGCTTTGATACGCGCCGGAGTTATCTCTTCCTTCCGTGCCATTATTGCAAAATGCCACAACGCAGGTTCAGTCGATCAAATTATCGAGGAGATCGGAAGCCCCCTGAAAACGGGCAAGCTGGCCTCCGCTGACCAGCGCATTCTCCATGCAGAAATGCTAGAAGCTGTTCCCCTGTCTTGTCCAAATGCCCAAAAGATGTCCACTATTTTGGCAGCTGTTACTGGCAAGGAAGGAAACGATGTAGCCCTGGCCGCCGAGACATTGACACTCTGTCGAGCTATCAATGTATTGATTAAGGGCGACAGCGAAATCTCGCAGCCCGTCCTAAGCGCTTTGCTCAAAGGATTGGCAGATAAGAAGGCAACAACTCGCAAAATTTGGCTTCTTCGTGTCGGTTCCGTCTTCCGAACCATAGATGGCCTGGACACGAACGCTGCGTTGACCTCGTTCACGGAAGCGGTTATTCCAAAATTTATCGATAATTTCAATGAAGTTGTTGCCAATCCTGCACTGACTGCCCAGAGCGGGACGATAGTTGGAGCGTACATTCTCACAGCTCTACTCCCTGTTCTGAAACAATGGTCCACTGGCTCGAAGATCGGAGCGGATCTGTTGAAGTTGTCGACTTCATCTCCTGCTCTAGCCTCATCACAGTCCTTTCTTTTGAACCCTAAAATATTCAGTAAGATTGGGAGTGAGGAAGACTTCGATTGGCTCCGTCTTGCTCTGTATTCTGCTGCAGCGGGCCTAAGCACCCACACCGCGAAAGATATCGTTCTTGCGTGGTCAGAGGCCATGATATTTATCGTTACAGTCTCAACTGTACCGTCAAACGTGCGACAAGAAAGTGCCAAATCCCTCACCTCTCTTTATGCTCAGAGCCCTAGCATTATAGCAGATATCGTTATCAATGGCCTGTGGACGCATGTGACGCAGACTATCAACGTCGGAGATAAAGATTCGACCACGGAGACGCGTGATTTGATTAAAGTTATCAAGTCGATTTGTATTAGCTCCAAAGAGTTGGAGGCACTCGGGGGTAGCATCTCGCAAGAGATGTTGGAGCAGCAAGCTTGCTCTTTACTCGTTATCTGCCGTACGGAGCTGATACCTCGAGCTAATTGGATAGACTCCTGTATTCGAATGGGAGTTGACCCTGGAAAACTCGCCACGAAATACGCCGACATATTACTGAACGAGATCAGCGAGCGTACGTCTGTCAATCAAAAGGTACGAGTGTCAATATATCTCAAGAGCAGAACCGGCGTTGACAAGTAAAATTATAGGTCAATGCCATTCGGATTGCTGCATACAATGCAGCAGCAGAACTGGCCTTCGTTGCTCCAGAAACTATCATCCCTCGATTACAAGATCTTATAACTCAAGATCTAGATCCGCAACCGGTAAAGGCAATTGGACCGGTTGACGCTGCAATTTTCAGGACTCAAGAAGGTACCTGCTTCGTGGATGTCCTGAGCAAAAAAGGCCAAAACGACGCTCCAAATAAGAATACCAAAGATTACGATATTGTGAAGTGGGAAAAGGAACTGAGAGACCAACTTGAGAAAAAGAAGGGCCCACAAAGAAAGCTCACTGCTGAGGAAACGTCTAAAGTGAACACTCAGTTAAAGAAAGAGTCTCAGATACGAGCGTCAGTTCAAGCGATCGAAGCCAAACTTCTCCGCAGCATCGGGATTATACACTCGTTGGCGGTTGGACCACCCACTGATGCGTCACTTTGGCTTGGTTCAGCCATCAACTCACTTCTTGCTGTTATGGAAGCCGGCGCGAACCTCATTATAGGCGATGCCGCCTCCAAAGTCTACATCACCTGCGCTGAGAAAGTGAGTTCTAGGTTGGGAGCAACTCGCTCTGCTATTGGGATTGCGACGCTCAGGCTTCGAGGATTATCTTTCGAGGGGACATATGGTGATGAATCACTCGCCGACCTTGCAACAAGGGTACTGTATCGTCTCCGCTTTACTGGCGAGCAGCGGCCGTTTGATGCGGTATCACTAATATACATCTTCCCACTCCTCTTTCATGTCTTGAGAGAGGGGGGTGTTGGAGAGACTTTAGATGATCGGGATACTCAGATTGTGCTGGCTGTGGAGTTTACCTCATTTCATAGCATTACTTTTGCTGATGAATCGATACCTCGTACAGAGCTGCTGGATGTCCTTATTCATTCAATGCAAAGCCATGCTCAACATTACAAAATCATCAAAGATTGCTTTTCCGACATCTGCCGATGCGTCGCACCTAACATCACTACTGATGAAATGCTGGTCCTTTCTCGGGGGGTCACAGTGCCACAAGCAAATGTCAGGACTGCTGTTTTGCAGTCCATCAGTGCAGATATTGATATGAGTGAACTCGGCTACAGCAGCGAGATTTGGCTTGCAAGCCATGATGACATTGAAGAAAACCAAGAGCTCGGAATGGAGATATGGGAAGAGAGCGGGTTCAAACTTAATGCTGAGGTGCCCATGCTCATGGTGCCGTTCTTGAAAAGCAAAGACGGACAGCTCCGTCGAGCTGCAGCACGTTCACTCTCCAAGGCAGCGGAAATTGACAAGAAGAGCCTTCTGACTGTGATTCCAACATTGCAGTCTATCTATTTGGAGATGGCAAAGCCAAAAGTCCAACTTCTTGACGAATTCGGGATGCCAAAGAAAATGGACTTGTCTGACCCGTGGGAAGCGAGGCATGGTATAGCAACCGCCATCAAAGAACTGGCAAACATCTTGGAGCCTTCACAAGTTGGTCCCTTACTCGATTTTCTGATCCAGTCTGGACCTCTGGCAGACAAAAATGCCTCGGTTAGAACAGAAACACTTGATGCTGCTATTCGAGTCATCGAGTTCCAAGGAGGCAACATCATTGATGAGCTGATGAAGAAGTTCGAAATGACCCTGGAGCAGCCTGACAAGAATAGCGACGAAGTGGATCGTGTCAACGAGGCGGTGGTTATTATGTATGGTGCCCTGGCTCGCCATCTCCGTCCGGGGGACAAGAAGATCCCCGTTGTGATTGAACGTCTCTTGGCAACCTTGAGTACCCCATCTGAGATGGTCCAATATGCCATTGCCGAATGCTTACCTCCTCTGATCAAAGCGTATCCGTCAAAGTTGTCCGAATATATACAGCAGATGATGCACGAGCTTCTGAATTCCAAAAAGTATGCTACTCAACGAGGAGCCGCCTACGGCCTGGCAGGATTGATCCTTGGTAGCGGCATATCTACTATCAAGGAGCTCCGAATCATGTCAGATCTCAGGGGAGCTATGGAGAATAAGAAGGATTCACACCAAAGAGAGGCTGCTCTTCTAGCGTTTGAACTCTTTTCTACTATGCTAGGCCGCCTTTTTGAACCATATGTCATCCAAATAGTGCCGTTGCTTCTTAGCGGATTTGGAGATGCCAATGCAGATGTCCGAGATGCTTGCTTGGCAGCAGCGAAAGCTTGCTTTGGTAAGCTAAGCTCGTATGGTGTCAAAAAGATCATGCCAACACTTTTGGAGGGACTCGATGACCAGCAATGGCGTAGCAAGCGAGGTGCTTGTGACCTTCTCGGTGCAATGGCGTACCTTGATCCAAACCAACTCGCGACTAGTTTACCGGACATCATTCCTCCCTTAACCGGTGTGCTTAACGATAGTCACAAGGAAGTGAGGGCCGCCGCCAACCGAAGCTTGAAGAGATTCGGCGATGTCATTAACAACCCGGAAGTAAAGAGTTTGGTGGACGTGATATTGAAAGCTCTCAGCGACCCAACCAAGTACACCGACGAGGCATTGGAGTCATTAATCAAGGTTCAGTTTGTGCATTACCTTGACGCACCCTCTCTGGCCTTGATCACCCGCATCCTGCAACGTGGTCTAGGCGATCGCTCCAACACAAAGCGCAAGGCAGCGCAGGTGATTGGCAGTCTAGCCCATCTGACAGAAAAGAAAGACATTGTCATGCACTTACCGGTCCTCGTTTCCGGGCTCAAGATTGCTGCTGTTGACCCGGTACCAACAACTCGAGCGACAGCATCCAGAGCTCTCGGCTCCTTGGTTGAAAAACTGGGAGAGGACTCATTGCCCAACTTAATTCCCGAGTTGATGCAGACTTTGAAATCTGATACTGGCGCCGGTGACCGACTGGGATCCGCACAGGCTTTGAGCGAAGTCCTAGCAGGTTTGGGCACGAGCAGACTCGAGGAAACTTTGCCAACCATTCTTCAGAATGTAGAATCCTCTAAGCCTGCAGTCCGCGAAGGTTTCATGTCTCTCTTCATTTTCCTCCCGGTTTGTTTTGGCAATAGTTTTTCCGCGTATCTGGGCCGTATAGTCCCTCCTATTCTCGCCGGTCTGGCGGATGATGTGGAGTCTATTCGTGAAACAGCCCTTCGCGCGGGACGACTGCTTGTTAAAAATTTTGCAATTCGAGCTGTCGACCTTCTTCTGCCTGAATTGGAGCGAGGATTGGCGGATGACAGTTACAGAATTCGTCTTAGCTCCGTTGAGCTTGTTGGCGATCTTCTCTTCAACCTCACAGGTGTGAAAGCTGGTGCCGAACCAGGAGACGAGGAAGATGAGACTGCTAAAGAGGCAAGTGCTTCCTTGAAGGAAGTACTTGGGGAAGAGAAGCGAAACAAGATCTTGTCAACTCTTTATATTTGCCGATGCGACACTGCTGGAGCGGTTCGTTCCGCTGCGATTTCAGTGTGGAAAGCTTTGGTCCACAGCCCCAGGACATTGAAGGAACTGGTGCCAACGCTTACAAGTCTTCTGATTAGGCGACTTGGAAGCTCGAACATGGAGCATAAAGTTATTGCCAGTAACGCGCTCGGTGAGCTGATTCGGAAAGCTGGCGACGGTGTCCTTGCCACTCTCCTACCAACTCTAGAGATGGGATTACAAACTTCAACAGATACGGATGCAAAGCAGGGCATATGTCTTGCTCTGCGTGAGCTCATTTCATCTGCGTCACCAGAATCTCTTGAGGACCATGATAAGACGCTCATTTCTGTTGTCCGCACTGCACTCATTGACTCAGATGCGGAGGTTAGAGAGGCTGCCGCCGAGGCTTTTGACTCCCTTCAACAGATCTTTGGCAAACGGGCAGTTGATCAAGTTCTTCCTTTCCTGCTCAATCTCCTGCGATCCGAGAATGAAGCAGATAATGCTCTATCGGCACTTCTCACGTTGTTGACTGAGGCTACCCGGTCCAACATCATTCTGCCCAATCTCATCCCAACTCTAACAACTCCACCGATATCAGCGTTTGATGCAAAGGCCCTGGCTTCCCTATCCAAGGTTGCTGGCGCATCTATGAACCGTCGTCTCCCCAACATCATTCAGTCATTGATGGAGAATGAGATCAATTGCAGCGATGACGGTTTACGTGAGGAGCTGGCGACATCATTCGACACCGTGATCCAGTCAATTGACGAATACGATGGCCTCAATACTGTGATGAATGTTCTTCTCAGTCTCCTTAAGCATGAAGATCACCGGCGGAGAGCTGCCACAGCTCGACACATGGGTAACTTCTTTGCTGTTTCCAGTGTGGACTACTCTCGTTATAACCAGGATATTATTCGATCTCTATTGAACTCGTTTGATGACGGAGACTCGGATGTGGTGAAGGCTTCTTGGGCTGCTCTCACCGAATTCACGAAGAGGCTTAAGAAGGAAGAAATGGAATCGCTCGTTTTGTCAACTCGACAAACACTTCAGCGTGTTGGCGTTGCGGGTGCTAACTTGCGGGGATTCGAGCTTCCTAAGGGAATCAGTGCTATACTACCAATCTTCCTACAGGGCCTCATCAACGGGACTGTTGATCAAAGAGTGCAAGCGGCACTTGGTATCTCGGATATCGTGGACCGTACAAGCGAAGCGTCGCTGAAACCATTTGTTACTCAAATCACAGGACCGCTCATTCGTGTAGTATCAGAACGTGCTACGGAGGTTAAATCGGCTATTTTGCTCACGCTCAACAACTTACTCGAGAAGATGCCAACGGCGCTTAAGCCTTTCTTACCTCAACTCCAGCGCACTTTTGCCAAGTCTTTAGCGGACACATCTAGCGAAGTTTTGAGGACCAGAGCTGCAAAAGCTTTGGGGACTTTGATCAACTACACGCCTCGAATCGATCCTTTGATAACTGAGTTGGTTACAGGAGCAAGGACAACTGATCCAGGTGTGAGGACGGCAATGTTCAAGGCACTGTATGAAGTTGTCAGCAGAGCTGGGGCAAACATGGGCGAATCCTCCAGATCAGCTATCCTGTCGTTGATTGACTCGGATGCTGATGAGAAAGATGATGCCATGGTGGTAACCAATGCAAAGCTTCTCGGTGCCTTGATTAAGAATGTGGCCGAGGATGTTGCCATAAGCCTGCTACGGAACAGAGTCATTACTCCTCAGTCAAGTCACTCATCTACATTGGCTTTGAACTCTGTGTTGGTTGAATCGCCGAGTATCTTGCAGTCAAATGGTATCATCGATGAGCTGCCAAGCTTGCTCTGTGGGGGAATGAGTGATAAAAGAGTAAGTTTGCCTTTAACCTCCCTCTGTTGTCCTTCATCTCATAAATTTCGTGTAGCCTTATATTGCGGATAATTTCATTCTCGCCACGGGAAAGCTTCTGCTCTCATCACCCCCTAAGGCATTCGATGATATCAAGCAGATATTCGAGACATTGGCAGTTGTCGTCCAACCTGGAAATGCCACAGACTCGCGACGGCTGGCGCTGGTAATCATTCGAACATTGAGCAGGAAAAACGCCGATTTAGTACGGCCTCATGTGTCACTTTTGGCACCACCGATTTTCGCGAGTGTTAGGGATCCAGTGATACCCGTGAAGCTATCTGCTGAAGCTGCATTCATTGAGTTATTCAGCGTCGCAGATGAAGAGGGCCGGATATTTGATAACTATATGGCAGGCCCGGGCAATGATCTACCGCCGAATGTTAAGAGAAGCATGGGCGACTACTTCAAACGAGTTGCCATGAGGCTTGGCGTTCAAGCTAGGGAGCGGAGGGAGGCTGAAGGTGGACAAGGAAGCTTAGGCCTGTCGAATGATGAGGTTGAAGATGAGCGGGAGATATGGAGCGTGGGGAAAGTGGAAATTGATGGAGAAACCTTTGCATAAGCAGATATATGCTCAAGAAAGGTAGTAGGATTGTACCAGTATCTTTGACGTGATAGGAAAAAATTTGTGTAGAATACTTGAGATGAGATGTAATTAACTACACACATGTTAGCATTCTGGCATTGTATTTAAGAATAGGTTGGGTGAGGTAGAATAATCCGGCTATTCCTGATTATTCCTGGCTTAGTGGAGGCTTATTCTTGTAAACATATATACAGAAAACAGCGTATATGTAGAGACCACCAAGGTCCTCTTTATATTTTACGTATTTGTAGAGCAGAGGCGGTGTTGTGATGCTGTGTGATTATACCACAAGTACGAGTACGTGAAGCTTAGGGCGTGAATGTCAAGATTACGTCAAACGGTCCGGGGAGTCACGTGATATGATTGATGCAAATGGCGGACTAGTCTCATCAGAGCCCTCGCTTAGCCCATTCTTTGAAAGTGTGCTAAATTCCGGGCCTAGTGCACGTGAACCCACAAACTTTGAGCAGAACTGCTACGAGCCTCCGGAAATTCTGGCCTCGTAAACCCTCCCCCCAAACTTCATCCAACCTCATCGCCATCGAGGGCCGGCCATCAATACCGAAATTATTCAAGATGTAAGCCTATATTCCACTGCCGTTGGATGGATAGCAACTGGGCGATGAAGACGATAGTCCTTGATTGAGCTCAAATCTTTTGGCGGGCAAGAGATGTGGTGCTGACACAAGGTTTTTCTTTCTTTGCGATTTAGGGTCAACCTGCGAACTCAGAAGCGCCTTGCCGCGTCGGTCATTGGCTGCGGCAAGCGCAAGATCTGGCTTGATCCCAGCGAGCAGAGCGAGATTTCAAATGCCAACTCTCGCCAGACCATCCGAAAGCTCGTCGCCGATGGCCTCATTATTCGAAAGCCGGTGACGATGCACTCGCGATCCCGCGCCCGCGAGCTCAACCTTTCCCGAAGAGAAGGCCGACACCGTGGATTCGGTAAGAGAAAGGGTACTGCCGACGCTCGTATGCCCACTCAGGTCCTCTGGATGCGCCGCCTTCGAGTCCTCCGACGCCTTCTGGTCAAGTACCGCGCCAGCGGCAAGATCGACAAGCACCTCTACCACGAGCTCTACCACCTGAGCAAGGGTAACACATTCAAGCACAAGCGTGCTCTGGTTGAGCACGTACGTTTCACCTTTTCTTAGCAGACTTTGGCTGGCCTCGTGAGAGAATTGCTGTGCTAACAAATCACTATTAGATTCACCGTGCCAAGGCCGAGAAGCAGCGTGAGAAGGCCCTGAAGGATGAGATGGACGCCAAGCGTGCGAAGACCAAGGCTGCCCGTGAGCGCAAGTTGGAGAGAGTGGCGGCGAAGCGAAATGCTCTGCTGGCGGATGACGAGTAAAACCATTTTGAAGGACATTCTCGGTCTGAGGGGCTGCATTTGGAGTCTACGGGTTGGGTTTTTTTTCTACGCCCTTCTGGTTTCTACAGTCGTACCGGTGGGTTTGTGGCATGTAGCATTGAAAAAAAATGAAATGGTAAATGCTCAAGGTAATTCATTCGTTCGATCTGTGTTGCACCATATCGGGCACGGCCAAATTTTGTACCCGTGACAGCATTGGTACCAGGTATGACTTGATGACTCTTGGGTGGCACTCAGACAGGAGAGATTTGAGATACCTATGGAATGGATGCATAGTTTCTTATAAAGAAATCGTATGATTTATACATGGCAATGGGTGAAATGCGGCTTGTAAAAAAAAACAGTGAGATACATAGAAAATCACAACCAATTTGTTATACTCGTAGCATCCAAGTCCGAGCGCCATAGGCAGCGGGGTATGAAATCCTTGGCTGAATCAGGGTCCTTCGAAGTGCCCCGTTCAAGATAAGGTGATGAAGGGCGGCAGAGCACTTCGGCATGCCCCCGTAATTCCAATGAGCAGAGCCAACAGCCTCATTTCGCCCGAAAGAGAGTACAAGCAACGATGCGTGGACATGATGGGTAGCTGTGGGGAGGCGGGAAAAGGATAAGCCGACATAAATCACCAGACGAGCAAACTTGGTGGCATGTACATAGACTACCTCAGTAAGGTACAGTAGGTATATGTAAATCCAGCGGCGTCGTTACTCTGAACCAGCGGTTGAACTTTATGGCCGTTTGAGCCCAGAGTCCACTTAGATAACAGCAATTGAAGACATCCAGCTTGGATTTTCCATATTTCCACGTAACGGGAGTTGTGTGTTATGTAATTCATTCCACTCTAACATAGAAACTATTTGTAACAAAAGTGCACGATCCTGTACGAGTAGTGCCAGGGCTCGTACTTGTATGCGGGGGATGGGACGAGACTTTTTGGAGGCGGATAGCCACGGTCAGGCTACGCAGCGCCGCTTTTGAATCGCGCCGATCGGAACTGTATGAGCGGCAAGCATCGCCCGATATATTCCAGGGCTTTCTTTTCTTTTATTCCGTCATCACGGCTTCGCAGGCGCAACTTCTTGCTCGTGCCGTCTCCTGTTGTCTCTTTTATCTCCCCTCTTTTGCCATTGAAGGCTGGCCCGTTTGTTCGACGCCCATCATGGCAGCCTCGTATCTGCGAAGCACGACGATTCCTCTCAGCGGGTTGAAGAGATTGGCAGCGAAGCCGTCTGTGGGCACAACATGTCTCGTTGCTCGACGGACAAAGGCCTCGCTCGCTCATGATGGCCAGCAACAGGTCAGGAGAAGCCCAATTGGCAATATCAATGCGCTTAATGCTCACTGGGATTGACAGCTTCTTGCGGCGCACCTCGAGAAAGCCGACCCGGCTGTTTTTGACATCATCGAACGAGTCCGTGTTTCTGATTAGGTTTGGAACCACGCAGCAATCATTACGCATGCTGAGCCTTGGAGCAGGAGAAAAACCGGCAGAAGCATTTCATCAACCTCATTCCATCAGAAAACTTCACTTCCCAAGCCGTGTTAGATGCGCTGGGTAGCGTCATGCAGAGTAAGTGGCCGAAGATGCTCTCCGTCCTTTTAGAATAGCCACTCTAACAAATATCACCTGCAGATAAGTACTCTGAGGGCTACCCCGGCGCACGGTATTACGGCGGAAACGAGTTCATCGATCAGTCCGAACGACTTTGCCAGCAGCGAGCTCTAGAAGCATTCGGCCTGGATTCCAAGTCTTGGGGAGTCAATGTTCAAGGCAGGTCTAATATTGATGCTCCAAAATATCTCTTCTTATGAGCACGCGATCTAATTACACCCTGTCTCCAGCTCTTTCTGGTGCCCCGGCCAACCTCTATGTGTACTCGGCGCTTATGGATACTCATGATCGACTGATGGGACTTGATCTGCCTCACGGTGGACATCTTTCTCATGGTTATCAGACGCCGACCAAAAAGATATCCGCGGTTTCCAAATACTTTGAAACTCTACCTTATCAACTAGATGAGCGCACCGGCTACATCGACTACGATAGCCTTGAGAAGATGGCCACTATTTACCGACCCAAGATCATCGTCGCTGGAACTAGTGCCTATAGCCGATTGATCGATTATAAGCGCATCCGAGACATTTGCGACAAGGTCAACGCTTATATGGTGGCAGATATGGCGCACATCTCTGGCCTTGTCGCCGCCAAGGTGTTGCCGGGCCCCTTCCCCTTCGCCGATATCGTCACTACTACCAGCCACAAGAGTCTCCGAGGACCTCGAGGAGCCCTGATTTTCTTCCGCAAGGGTGTACGAAGGCAGAACCCGAAGACGAAAGAGGATGAAATGTACAACCTCGAGGGCCCAATCAACAATTCCGTGTTTCCGGGCCACCAGGGCGGTCCCCACAACCATACCATCACTGCTCTTGCCGTGGCATTGAAGCAGACACAGACTACCGAATTCCACTCCTACCAGTCCCAAGTGTTGGCAAATGCCAAGGCTTTTGCTAAGCGCCTCGGAGAAGAGAAGGGCAAGGGCGGTCTCGGATATAACCTTGTCAGTGGTGGCACCGATAACCACCTGGTTCTTGTTGACCTGAAGCCCCACGGCATCGATGGCAGCAGAGTAGAGCGCGTTTTAGAACTGGTTGGCGTTGCCGCAAACAAGAATACCGTGCCGGGTGACCGATCAGCTCTGGTACCAGGCGGTCTTCGGATGGGCACACCCGCCATGACAACTCGCGGATTTCACGAGGACGACTTTGTACGGGTGGCTGATGTCGTTGACCGAGCCGTCACCATCGCGACCCGCATCAACAAGACGGTCAGAGCAGCAGCCGAAGAGCGAGGCGAAAAGTTGCCTGGTAAACTCAAGCTTTTTGTAGACCATCTCGGCAATGGGGATAGAGATCCAGAGATTGTGCAGCTGAGGAGCGAAGTCGCGGACTGGGTGGGCACATATCCTCTCCCCTGGGACTCGGCTGAGTAGATGTAACACCAAATGGCAAATTCCTTTCTGAAGCTATATTAAAATGTACTATTTCGGAGAGTTGCATCTCCCATTGTGGGTGTACAGGTTACGAGCCGATCATTCACGTGCCGCTCTTATTTGTTGTTCAACACTAAATATAAGGATTGTTCTGTGCAGCTTCAATGGGTATTTACATGTAACGACAGCGTGTAATGAAGGAGGCGAGTGAGTTGGCGCGTATTAATCCAAACGCTACCATTTCGACTATTTGGCAATGTTAGAGCAAAAGCGAATATCCAAACGACTGGGTATTCGGAAAACAAGCAAGATATCAATCTGGTGATGGGGAGGCGAAATGATATATTCCCCCTGTGGAGTTGGGGAATTATCGAGTCCCTAAAGCCGTGGCAACAGTGTCCAGCTGTCGAACAGTCTCATAATATGTTCGTAACCCATCCAGACCTTTGAATGTTGTTTCTGGGCCATATTCTTCTACGATGGAATGCAAGACTGGCCACACGGCAAAGTCGGGAAGGGTCAACTTGTCTTCGCAAAAATATGGAGGACGCTTTTGTTTCAAGTTGTCGACGATGCATTCGTCCCAAACAGCGAGCTCTTGCTTCATCTTCCCGGGCAGTGCTCGACTATTAGTATCCCCATCACTCCTCAGTTGCCGCCAGGCGTGTAGTAGATTCAGCCCTTGTTGCATCTGACTAAATAGCCTCGCAAGCTTTTCTGGACTATGAGCAGCGGGATCTGCCTCAGTGGCGCGCCCTTGCCCGTAGCGGGAGTGCAGATATAGCATGATGGCAATGTCCCCCTGAACGACGGATCTGGCAGTATCGTTATCAACGAACTTTACAGGCGTGGACCAAAACGCTGGAGTGTTGTTTTGATTGCCGCTGGGGAGATCGTTGCCAGAAGCCATGCTGCCCTTGGCAAACTGAATACCAAACTCGACAAGCATAAGCACGATGCGCATGTTGACTACAGGATCCGCGGAGGCAAAGAACCTTGGAGAGTTGCTAATATGCAACACGTCGAATCCGCCGCCGTAATGCGCCTGCCAATCGAAATCAGACGAATGGTTCTCCATGCCAAACGCCTGGATCATCTTCACAGCATCAGGGCTCTGGCCGTTATTTATGGTATGCGCAGAGGCGCGCGTCTTGCCAGTTGCTCCCTGGCCCCAAATAATAGTCTCCTCAAGGTCGAGAAATGTGCCAATCTGCCTGAACGTGAGAGATATCCGACGGCCTGAATAAGCCAGCTCAGCAGGCGACCTATCACGGTCTGCTCGTTTGTCTCGTCGGATGGCATGCAGCCATTTCATATTTGTCTGCAAGCCCATCCGGAAGAGCGAGTTGTGTGGGAGTTTGGCACGTTCGATCTTTCGTTTTCCATCATTTAATGCCACTCCAGGTGAATCTTTTTCTTGCCTCTTAGTTCTGAGAGTCATGGTTCTTTCCGCCCCAAGACTGACATTGGCGATGTATGAGCCCTGAACTATATCCAGGGTTTTATCACTATGCTCGGAAATGTAGTCGTTTCCGTCACGGTAAAATTGAATGAGGACGTGATTCAGCGGATGGCCGAGATGCTTCTCTATCTCATCCTTGATGACTCTGACGGTTGGGGAGAATGGAAGCAGTGGTGGAGATTCGTCAGCAGGATGACGATAGACTGGCATGGTGCCATCTTCGCTCACCTCGCCTTGGACAGCGACAAGTCGGGGCACCTCGCCGCCCTGGTGTGACATCCTTTGCCAAACGACCTCCTTTTCAAGTTTTTCAAAAGCTTCACCCGCTAAACCGCTTGACAGCGCATTGAGAATGACATCGGCATCGCCTTCACAAAGCTTCTGCTGGGGAGATGAATCGCCTTCGTTTACAGAATCATCAACTGTGACAACTGGCTTAACACGTTTCGCCGCACTAGCCTCCGCCGAAGTCTTGTCCTCCATATCAATCTTCTTCGTTTGCTTGTTATCCTTCTCGGGAGCTTGAGTCTTGAGAATAACCTTCTGGCTTGGTTCATTCACGGTGGTAGCAGGGCCAGATGAGCTAGGATCCAGCTTGAGTTCTAGAAGTGACTGTACAAGGTCTTTATCACTACTAACGGCAGCTGCTTTTGCCTGCGGGGCGGATGGCTTGTTTGGTGCTTTCTTGGGTGCTTCAACTACTGGTGGAGTTGAAGGTAGAGTGCTGAGAACCTCTTTCGATGATAAAATCTCACAGCCGGTGAGTTCGACGAGGCTTTTTATAGCTGAATCCCGCCTAGATTCTAGACGATAGCCGCAACAATCATCTATGACTGTAATGGCCATGCCATGACCTGCGGCGTCCATGGCGGTGGCAAAAACGCCAATATTGGCCATGGAGCCGCAGATAAAAACTTCCATGACCATCTTACCGCGTAGGGCGCGTAGCAACTGCGTGCCATGAAACGCGGAGTAATAAGACTTTGTCAATTTCATATCGCTCTTTTGGACGGCCTCCGAAACGGCCGGGGGCATGTCGCATCCCGTGTGGGAAGGCTTCACGCAAAGGGGCTCCTCATGACTCAGGAAGGCCTCGTTGTCCAGTGACTCATCAGAAGGAGTCTCAGTTACGACGTTTCTTCTGCGGCTGTGAGCAGGTCCAGCCTGGGATACGAGCCCATTCTCAGATAACACAATCTGGTCGCTCTCAACCGGACGAGCTTTGTCGAACTGAGACTGAACCCAAATGACGTCTCCCACCGAGCGGAAAGCGGCTGCTATCTTTGTTGCGCGATTGACAAACCCTTCGGGATTGGTGGCAGGCAGTCCGCCGTCAACAGGATCAATGAAGTCGTTTTGAAAGTCAACCAGTATGAGAGCCTTACGGGTTGTGAGTTGAGGTAGTGCGGCTTGGTCGAAGGCAAACATTGTATCCAGTCATGAAGCATATCACGGGGATATGAATATGCAGGCAGCAAGGCGGAAATGAGACGCCTCCTTTACCCAAAACGATATCTGCGCCCTGAGTCTGGTATGGCAAGCAAAGAGGGGGCTATTCAGCTGAACCCTTGAGTAGCTTGTGAACGATTCTCTCAACACTCTGAAGCGTCGCTCACTGACCGACCCGACCGAATGATGGTGTCGCGAGTTGGAGAGCAAAATGACTGTGAAGTCAGCCAGCTGAATCAAAGCGTGATGGGGTCGAAATTGCCAAATATACCCGGGCGTCATGGCCAACGGACAAGGAGGCGCAAGGTGTCAAAGTATTGGCTAACTACTAGGTAAGTAAGTTCGCTAGTCAACACAATTTAGAATAGTGTAGCGCCAAGTTGGCAAGGATGGGGAGTTTTGACACAGCCGAGATGCCATTTAAGCGTGTTGACACAATGCTAGATCTTGTGATGAAATTTGAATAGTACTAACGGCTCGATGTGGAAGTGCCGGGGCAGCGATGAGATGCTGGAGATTCGGCATTTGCTCCTTGACACCTTTTTACCCGTGCTTCATGTACCGAGCAATTATGCATGCCAGGTGCGGCTTCCATCCGAACGCCGTCACATGCGACTCCGCACCCAGTGGTGGCTAAAAATAGAATTCACAGACTTTAAAGAAGAATTTAAGAAAAGCCATGGCTTCTGTCATCGTAATGGAAAATTACGGATTTTAACGTTTCCATATGTACTTACATACCTTAGTAGGTATAGATATAAGTTATACTACTCTATGTAAAGTTGAATATAAAAATTGACTGATAAATGTTAAAGACCTTGCAAATGAAGATTATATAGCTCTAATAACCATAGATTACGTCAGAATGCTTATATAATACACATGGAATTGAACAATATTAACTTGTTGCCGGGTAGCCAGAATAACAGCAAACGCAAGGCCATAATATTGATGCACCACCATTGCATATCTACAGAGTACTCGCTTGCCTCTAGAATACATCCCTGCCTTTCGAGCATGTTCTTATCTAGAGGCACCTGTTGATCTCGGTCCCCCTCTCTCTCCCCCCACTCCCTCCTCCGTTCGCCGAACGTTTCTTCATCGGCTACCTCATGGCCGGCGCAAAGAAGAAGAAGAAGCCGGCAGCCAATCCGGCGCGAGGCTTTGCGACAACCTCTGTTGCGTCCAAGCCTCGCCTAGAAATAACAGAGCCGACAGGATCTCAGCCTTCTTCGGGTGTCAACACCCCCAAGACTGCCCCTCCAGCTAGATCAGAAGCAACCCCGCTACCATCGAACCCAACCGCGTCGAGTGGCGAGCAAACATCAGCCAAGGAAATCGTACTGAGCCCCGAAGAGTTTGAACGACAGCTCGAAGAATCAGAACTGCAGTTGTTTGTAGAAAAATACTCGCAGAAAGTCAAGCGAGATGCTCAACGCCAGTGCTCTCGATTGGAGACCGATCGGCGCCTGCTTCGGAGCCAGGCTGAGTCTATCAACACGCCGAAATGGCTGCCTCGAGAATTGATGGATCATATCCTTGACCTGATCAAGGCTGAAAGTCGCTTCTATGCCTCTAGCCTTTCGTCCGAAAATGTTGGGCCTGGAAAGATGCCGTCTGAAGAAGAGTTGGTGTCACGCATATGGACGTTGCAACAGACGCTCTCCGGGGCCGCTTTTTCCGAAAATGTCGTCGAAAGCGCTATACAGCATATCTTGGATATCGCACCAAACATATCGGCTGCTCCTCGAGATTATATATGGGGTCTAGAAGAAGCTCTCGAATGGCTTGCACGTGAATCTCCGCTTGAAGATCTCCCCACGTACGGGACTAGGACCAAGGCAGTTTCCAAAGGTCAGCCTTCTCATACTCGATTCAGGGGTAGATCTTCTCCTCAACATTTTCTGATGTATTTCTTCTAGACGCTACCGATAGTGCATCCGGGCCCCCGTCTCGGACAAACACACCCAAGTTACACGCATCTCAAGCCAGTCGTACGGAGAAAAGCAATGCAACGAATACTCGCCCTGGCAAGGCCCGAGCATCTCCAATTGCTACATTCAATGGTGATATTGAGCCGGAGGATTTG